CTGGAGGTACTGCTGCTGGAGGCGCTGGAGCTGGAGGTGCTGCTGCTGGAGTCGCAAGAGCTAGAGGTTCTGGAGCTGCTGGAGGCGCTAGAGCTGGAGGTGTTGTTGCTGGAGTCACTAGAGCTGGAGGTGCTGCTGCTGGAGGCGCTCGAGCTGGAGGTTCTGGAGCTACTGGTGGTGCTAGAGCTACTGGTGCTGGTGGTGCTGCGCAGCCACGACTGTTCTTTGCTCCGCCGTCTCCGTCGTCTCTGTCACCGCTTGACTCCGTGCTTCACCAGGTTCTTAGCCTCCCGTCGTCTACTGGTCTTTTGTTACAGCCTAGCTCACCGCTACCTGCTCCTTCTCCTTACACTGAGCAGCCAGGAGGTCTTGCTGAGCGTCGTGAGCCTGCGTCGCGTCCTGTCTCGCGTGTCCGCACTAGTTGTCGTGTTCCTCGTCCGCGTCCGCCGGCTGTCCCCGGCACACACCTCATGGCTCAGCGTCCGTCCTCTGCTCCGCAGCGTGTTCCTCTGCCGTCTCCTCTTGCGTCTACTCTGCCTGTCGTTGCTGACCCTGAGTCTGACCGGTTTCGTGCTGAGCACCCTACTGTCACATGTCTACTAGCCACTGTTGTCACTGACCCGTCGTTTGAGTCTGCTGCTGCGTCTGCCTTCGTCGCTGAGCTTGTTGACTTTGCTGCTCACTGTCGTCTAGACTATGCCGCTAGTCTTGTTGATGAGTCTGAGTCTGTCTGTCCTCCGTCCGTCGGGGGTGAGTGTGCTCTTGGCACGGACGTCCTTGAGGACAGGCAGGAGGACCTTGAGTGTTTTGCAGCCGTTGCGTCTCATCTCGTGGCCATGCTACTTGCCTCTGAGGGAGACCCGGATGCTCCAGACATCCCGACCCCGCGCTCTTACGCTGAGGCGATCGCAGGTAAGTACTCCTCTCAGTGGCAGACAGCCATGGACGCAGAGATGGCATCCTGGAAGTCCACAGGCACTTACGTTGACGAGGTTTCCCCTCCTGGGGCGAACATCGTCGATGGCATGTGGATTTTCAGGGTGAAGCGGCCGCCAGGTTCTCCGCCTGTCTTCAAGGCTCGTTACGTTGCTTGAGGTTTCAGTCAGCGAGAGGGAGTTGACTTCTTCCAGACCTTCGTTGCGTGACTACGAGCTTCACTCTCTTGACTTCAGCATAGCCGTCCATCCACGTCCACGTCCACGTCCACGTCCATGTCCATGTCCACGTCCCCGTCCATCCACGTCCACGTCCACGTCCACGTCCACGTCCACGTCCATGTCCACGTCCGCGTCCACGTCCACGTCCACGTCTAGCCTTCTTACAGGGCAGCCTGCACGAGGAGATCTGGCTGCGCCGCCCGCCTAGCTTCACTGGGTCGTTCCCTCCTGGTACCCAGTGGAGCCTCCGGCGGCCGGTCTACGGTCTCCGCTAGGCGCCACGTGAGTGGCACGACACACTGAGGACGACACTTGCGGCTCTTGGGTTTGCTCCGTCGACTGCTGACCCGTCGCTGTTTCTGCGCACCGACACTTCGCTGCCGCCGTTCTACATCCTTCTGTACGTCGGCGACTTGGTCTTTGCCATTGCTGACACTGAGGCTCTTGCCCTGGTCAAGTCGGAGCTGCAGAAGAGACACACGTACACGGACCTGGGTGAGCTGCGCAGTTACCTTGGCTTGCAGATCACCCGGGACAGAGCACACCGCACCATCACACTGACTCAGTCACACATGGTGCAACAGATCCTTCAGCGCTTCGGCTTCACCTGGTCCTCGGCACAGGCCACTCCTCTGGCTCTAGCCACTCGCTCTCAGCTCCACCTTCGGACGAGTCCGTAGAGCCGAGTGGTCCTTACCCAGAGCTAGTGGGCTGCCTCATGTACCTGATGACCTGCACTCGTCCTGACCTTGCGTACCCTCTTAGCCTTCTGGCTCGCTACATGGCTCCTAGTAGGCACCGAAAGGTGCACATGGATGCTGCTAAGAGGGTACTGCGCTGCTTGTGCAGTACATCGGGCATGGGGCTCGTGCTTGGAGGACGGGGCGACGTTGTCCTCACTGGGCACTCAGACGCTTCTTGGGCTGACGACTTGGCTATGCAGCGGTCGTCATAGGGTTACACCTTCAGTCTTGGCTCTGGCTCTGTTTCCTGGCGATCTACACGCTCGTCTTTTGTTCTCGGCTCCAGATTTGAGGCTGAGATCTACGCCACAGCCATGGCTGCACCGGAGTTACGCTGGCTTACCTACCTGCTGACCGACTTGGGAGAGAGGCCTCGTTCTCCTCCAGTTCTGTACGTCGACAACAAGGCTACCATTGCCTTGTGTCAGGACCACAGACTGGAGCACGGAACGAAGCACATCGCTCTGCGTTACTTCCTTGCTCGAGAGTTGCAGCAGCGTGGTCAACTTCGTGTCGCTCACGTGCCCACCCGGGCCAACACTGCTGATGTGTTCACCAAGGCCCTTCCGGCTGGTGATCATCAGCGCTTACGCACTGGTCTAGGCCTGGTGCCTACGTTTCCTCACTTGCTGTAGACTCTGGTTGTACTTTGGTCTATATATGTATACCTACATGTTTACTCTTGCTAGGTAGTGATCACTATACTGTTGTTGTTGCATATATACCTCTGCATGTGAACTGGCCTTGTGGCCCCTTTGCTTGTGCTCGAGTGTGTGGTGACGTTGTGATCCACCCCAAGCTTGCTTTGCTTTGCTTTTCTTGACTGGTCTTGTGACCCCATGTTCTCCCCCACTTTGCCTATGGGGGTGTGTCAAACTATATATGTGTTAGTTCTGTGTAGGCTACAGTATATTGGGGTAGCCCATATGGGGTACAACCCGAAGTTAGGGTTAGTACTTGTACCCACATTTCATTCAATGCAACCATTCCTGCTTGCTATCTTGACACCCAAAAGCCTCTAGAATCCTAGCCGCTGGTCCCATGATATACGTATCGTCTGCATAACTCATGAAAAGTATGTCCCTGAACTCTCTAAGCACCGACTCCATCACTTGCTGTTGGGTGAACGAGAAAATAAAAGGGCCGAGCGGGTCCCCCTGCCGCGATCCTTGTGCAGACTCAAGGCTCTGTACGAAAGGGCCCGCTCGAAGGTACAGGTCACTAGGTGTCCCGTAGAAAACACGCAAGAATGGGATCAACCCCGAGAAAGGCGACTCCCGCAGCCCCTCAAACATCGCATGACGGTGAAACGAATTGAAGGCGTTCGCGACATCTATATGCAGCGCACACAAATCGGGGTGAGTGGCCAGCGCTGACCGGAAAGAATGAGTATGAATCTCCACCCCGACCCTGGTGCCCGCTCCCAGCTGTTTGCACAGCAGAAAGTAGGAAGTCATCGCAGGGCGGAGCGAGATGCAGGGAGCTGAACGAGCAAGGATACGCGGAAGATGCTCGAGCAAGGATGCGCGGAAGCACCTCTCCAATCGCCACCGGCCAGACGTCGCCGTTAGGCTTGGAAAGCCCAACTAGGTTGGATGCGGCGAGCCAGGGTCGAGCCCGCTCGGGAACCTGCCCTGTCACCCATTGGTTGAACACCTCCAACCGGTGGGAAAGGTAGGAAGGTTCAGTGAGGAAGGTGTCGTGCAGATGCTCTTTGACCCACCTCGATGGCCTTGCTGCTGAAGCGCGGGCGGCTGTATGGATAGCTCTGGCCAGGACGTCGGTCGTCAGTGGAGGCCGCTGAGGAGCATCGACGGTGAAATCACGGACCCACTGTGGTACCTCGCCAGTGCTAGCAGGGTGCTTCTCTTGCAGTGACTGCACCATGGCCTCAGACGGTCAAGCCAACTCTCCTGCTGTAAGACAAGCCAGTCCACGACTCCACTCTCCCACTTTACACCGAGATCGGCACCGTGACAGGCGAATGACATCCGGGTCCTGGTCAGAGCAAGTATAGGCAAGTGGACAAACAGCATATAGTATAATTAACAGATCCATAATCTTCTCTTAAACCCATTCATCGAGTATCTTGCAATCAAGTGTCTGGTTCCCCTGGGCACACATAACCAGCATGGATTAATCAAAGGCTCTGCGACTTCGCAAGCTATCGCGAAAGCTACTTTGCGACAGTGCAAAACTCCGTGGATCTATGAAGTTGTTCCTTTCTGGCAACGTCTTTTTCAGTTCGGCTGAACGATATGCAAGTCTGTAATGAATATGAATTCATTACTGTAAAGGCTGCTCCTAGCGAGGACAACCCCGAGCACTTCACGTCAGTTTCGAGGTTCGGCCTACTCTTCGGCCCGAACCACTGCCGAGTCGCTCCGCACCAATCGCGACACCTCCAACCCATCCACATCCCGAGGTCCGCGCCTAGCAGGTATTTGCCCTATAAATGCCTCTCTTGTTCATTCAATCATGAATTCAGTAATTCTGTAATCACAATCTCTTTATAAAGTCTTCCGCGCACTCTTCTTAGTACAACTCATAACAAAGTCAGATTCAAAAAAGGTTACCCTTGGGAATTTCGATTACACACCTCGACAGCTGATCGCCTCTCATCAGTGATCCTCTAGTTAGTTTGTCACGCCTGATACCTCGTCTCGTCCAACTGTCAGGTCTTCCTGGTTGAATGTTCAGTGGTTCTAGTGCGCGAATGCGATGTTGGCACCGAGAGTCAGATTTACATCCCTGAGTTTCACAGCCCTTGCAAAGCCGACCGTAGAGTTAAATTCCCGACCAGTGAGCCAATCACTGTAGCATCCAGTCGAGGCTCCCGTCTGTCAGTTATCCGGTGCCTGTATGTCGCATTTGATGTCTCTTGTATAACATTCGCGTTAGATTTAATCCAAGCAGCCGACACTCTCCTCGCTCTCTCTCTGTCAAATCTTTGCAAGTCTATAACCCAGCAACTTCCGCATCCTCCGTGCGTGGAGCACGGAAATTCACCCTTACTCGCGTGATTCACGCTGACGGATCGTAACCCTCACCGTCACCGTCCGTCACCGTCACCGTCCTCACTTTCCCGGGTGAACGGGCCATGGCGGTGGGATCGCGGGGACGGCCTCGCCCTGCTAGCAACGGTCGGCTGTCAGGCGCCGTACTCGTGCTCATGAGCTGCCTCGCCACGCTCTACACCGGCGGAAGGTACGTTTCCCCACGCCGTGCCTCCAGAAGCCTTTTGAGTCGACTCAAAGGTCATCTCCGAGTCATGCTCGTGCTCCTGAGCTCTGCCGCGCTACGCTCTACACTGCGGAAGGTGCGCTTTTCTCACGCGAATCTAGAAGTACAGGTGACTTTTGAGTCGATTCGAAAGCTGCCTCCCCACGTGCTACCTCGCCGCGCTTTACACTGGTGGAAGATGCGTCCTGCCGCGCCTATAGAAATTAGAAGCAGCCGGTGCACGTGATACCGGCGGTGGTTGCGTCTCCCGCTCCTCGGAAAGCAATTGCTGCATGCTGCACGCCACACCGATGGAAGGTGCGTTCCCCGGCGCATCGAAACGCCTTGCAACGCCCGATCACCTAGGGATTATGGATGGTGACTGTTTTTGCAGTCAACCCAAACCCAGTGGCGAATACACGAGGGTGGACTGGAAGAAAAGACTCCGATACAGAAAATTCTGATGGCACTGGCCCGTAGAATCCCCTACTTTGGTGTTAACGTGGCGTTGAAATTGCCTGTGTTGCCTGTAAGAGCTGTGTTTCATTGGCGTGCTGTGTGTGTGTTACCATGTCATGCCACTGTGGTTCTGCCTGCGCTGCGCTGCAGGCTATGGCGAGACGTGCAGGTGCAGAAGAAGCTGCTGCAGGAGGCAAAGGGCATGGGAGCTGGAGGCCAGTCGAAACAAGTAAGCCTTGCGCATGCGGTTTCTGTCCCTGATGTCGCTGCTCGCTGCTCGCTGCTATCTGTCTGTCTGTCTGTCTGTCTGTCTGTCTGTCTGTCTGTCTGTCTGTCTGTCTGTCTGTCTGTCTGTCTGTTTGTCTGTCTGTCTGTCCCTCTGTCTATCAGTCCGTCTGCCCATCTATTTCTACCTACTGTACCTGCTCGGCCTGTTGTGATTGCTGCAATCGTTGCCCACCACCACGTGTCAGCAACGTTCTTGCCGTTCAGACCTCTAGCTTACGCTTGCTGCTGTGCCTGTGAGTGCCTGTGTGTGCCTGTGCGTGTCTGTGCGTGTCTGTGCTGAGACAAGCAGGATAAGAGCGCCAAGCCTCTCTCAGTTGAAGACAGCATACTCACACTCAAGCTCAGGTACTCCTGCCACTGTAGGCGCCTTAGAAGCTCAGCTCAAGTACTCCTGCCATTCTTAGGTATTCCCAATAAGCCATCGCTCAAAAGCTCAACCAAATGGAGTCTATTCGCTCTTATCTGTTCTCCCTTGCTCTTCTGCTCCCATGAAGCGTGTATGAAGTACCTGCTGCTGCTTCCCTTCCCTCCCCATGTGTCTCTCCCCTTCCCGCCTGCTCTCCACTGTCACTTCTCAGGCCTAACCCCCCACCCCGCCTCCCACCCCCCTTTCTCCCTCCCTCCGACGTTTGCCTCTTCGTGCTTCTCCCTTTCGTCTCTTCTGCACACGTCAGTCGTTTCATTCCTGCCCCTGAGGCATTTCTCTTCTTACATGACTCCGCCCCTGTATGCGCCCCCTGCTCCCTTCCCTTGTCTCTCCTCCCCGCCCCTGCTTTCTCCCCGGCCTGTCCCCCATGCCACGTGTGCACAGGGAACTGGAGAAGCGCCACGCCATGCTGCAGGTCCAGATGGCGGAGGCCAAGACACGTGGCTTCATCTCAGCCGTCGGATCTGCCAGCCCAGACACCTCTGCAGGCGGGGGAGTGGACGCAGCCGGGCATGCAGGGGCGGTGGCAGGGGGGGAAGGGGCGGCAGGAGGGGGAGGCGCGGGGGGAGCAGGAGGCGGGGGGAATGGAGCGGGGGGGAGGGAGCGGTTGCTGGTGGCAGTGCTGGTGAGCACTGCGTTTGGGAACAGGCTGAGGCGCGAGGCCATTCGCAGCACCTGGATGCCCACTGGTGCGTGCATGGGTTGTGAGAGGGGAGGGGGGGGAGAGGTGGAGAGGGCGGGGAGGGCATGGGCATGGGTTGTGTCGGGGAGACGAGTGGGGTGGGGGAGTGGATGGGAATTGGGGGAGAACGGGGAGGGGGGATGGAGGGAAGGAAGAGGGGGGATGGGAGACGTGAGAGGGGAGAGGGGTGAAGGGAGAAGAGGGGGGTGGGAGAGGGGGGGGTAAGGGAGTGGATATTAGGCAAGAAGGGAGTGGCTGTTGTTGTGTGAAACTTTGGAACATTAAGGGGTAAACACAGTTGGTGTGTATGAGTGGTGTTGAATGGGTTTGGCATGGTATGGTTTAGATGAATGGGGCAGAATGGCATACGATGTTGGAGGGATGAATGCACAACTTCGTGCACAATGCCAGCACGAAGTTGGGACGAATCTGCACGAATGCGCACAGATCTGCATGAATGGACGGTCAGGATGACTGTTTGGTGGACATATACTGACAGCAGCACAGCACATAACCCTGCATCAAAGAACGGCACCTGCCTTTTGCTTGATATACACCCTGCTTCTTACCCTCTTCGCCCTTCGTCTCATCGTCTCCCTTTGTCTTCCTACTTGTTTTCCCCTTGCAATCCCACCCTCCCCAACCTCCCCACCTCCTCCTCACCCTCCCCACCCTCCTCTCCCTTCCCACCCTCCCTACCCTCCCCACCTCCTCCTCACCCTCCCCACCCTCCTCTCCCTTCCCACCCTCTCAACCCTTCTCTCCTTTCCCACCCTCCCTTCCCACCCTCCCCACCCTCCTCACCCGCCTCTCCCTCTCCACCATCCCCACCCTCCTCACCCCTCCCCGCCCGCACTGCCACGGCACCAGGAGCGGCTCTGAAGAAGCTGCAAGATGAGATGGGCGTGGTGCTGCTGGCACTTCTGCTTGATACCTTGCTTCTTGCCTCTCCCATTTTCCCTCACTCATCGCCATGCTTCCCTCCCTGCCCGCCCTGCCACGGCACCAGGAGCGGCTCTGAAGAAGCTACAAGATGAGATGGGTGTGGTGCTGCGATTTGCAGTGGGCCACAGGTATGTGCGCTCTGCCCTGCCCTGCTCTGCACTGCTGTACCTTCCTCTGCTAGGCTGTGCTGTAATCTGCTATGCGGTGCTCTGCTGTGCAGTGATGTGTGCTGGGTTCAGGGTACCTGCCACAGGGAGGTGGGGAAACTCTGTCCAACTCGCCTCAACTCCTTATAACTCCCCACAACCGTGGCTTGTTGCAGTTTGAACCGCGGTGACTCGTTAGATCGAGCAATGCTGGAGGAGAGAGACAAGTACAACGATATTGTGGTCATGGTGGGTGGGGAGTGGAGGTATTGTGTGTTGTGTGAGTGCCTCACTTTTTGGGAGCTTATCGAAAGAAATGCTGGAGGAGAGAGACAAGTGCGACGATATTGTGGTCATGGTGGGTGGGGAGCGGAGCTACAACTAGTTATACCAGCGAAGCAAAGTCGTGTGTGTCGCTTTGAGGGTTTCTTGAAAGGGATGCTGGAGGAGACTTTTGAGTCGACTCAAAGTCAAAGGAATGCTGGAGGAGAGGGACAAGTGCAACGACATAGTGGTCATGGTGGGTGCGGTGCGTCTTCTGAGACGTCTCAAAAGTCGTGCGGTGCAGACCCATCTTGTGTGATAGCGGCGCAATGATGTGTGAGAGCGTTCGCCTCTGCTTGTGTGTCGTGTAACATTGTAAGAACGTGCTTACACTGAGGGGTGCGCGGGTGTGCACGTGGCTGGGTGGTTGGGTGGGTGGTGGGTGGAAATGTGGTTGTGTGGGTGAGCAGGACGAGTACGAGGAGGTGGAGAAGAGCGGGGGGCGCAAGGTGAAGCACCTGTTTGAGTATGCTGTGCGGCACTGGGACGCGGATTTCTATTTCAAAGTCAACGACGACGTCTATCTGAGCACCAGTGAGTCTTGACACGTTTTTAGACGTTGTAGACGTTTTTAGACGTTTTTCGATGTGTTAAGACGTTCTAAGACGTTTTTAGACGTTTTGAGACGTCGCTGTGAGGCACCATTTCCCTTGCAACTAGGAGCATGCGTCACGCACACGGCACGCGGCATCACATGTGCTTCCTGTATCTGTCTCACTTTCTTTTCAAGCCTCACGGCACGGGTGACTCGTGAGTCTCATATGTGCTTCTCGTATCTCTTCTCCCTTAATCGTTCTTCACCCTCCCTTCCCCCATCTCCACCCTTCCGCCCGAGTGCAGTGCTCCAGCTGGTGTCGTTCCTTCAGCGCCTCGAGAACCCCTCAGGGCTTTACACGGAACTCTGCTCTCCCAATTTCCCTCCCTCCCCTTCCCTCCTCACCCCACCCACCCCTCCCCCCGAGTGCAGTGCAGCTGGTGTCATTCCTACAACGGCTCAAGGACCGTTCAGGGCTGTACATGGGATGCTGCTCTTTCAATCTCCTTTCCTCTCCTCTCCTCTCCTCTCCTCTCCTCTCCCCTTTCCCCACACTGCTCCCTCCCCCCGAGTGCAGTGCAGCTGGTGTCATTCCTACAGCGCCTCAAGGACCGCTCAGGGCTGTACATGGGATGCTTCAAGTCTGGTGTTGTGGTCACGGAGCCGTGAGTGCGAGGGATTCGGGAGAGTTAGGCTGCGGGGAAGGATGTGGGGAAGGATGTGATTAAAGGCAGCGGGCTACAGGATGATGTGGGGGGACAGATGTGTGTGTGGTTCATTCGTTTCGCACTGTTGATGACTCGAAATTAATTTATTCCAGTGTATATTCCTCGTTCCGTGATGATGCTATCCTTCTTATCTCCCTCGCCTTCATCCTTTGCTCCTTCTCTTTCATTCCCCAATCCCCCCTAGTTCTGTCCCCTCTGCATTATCCATCCCTCCCCCTTCTGTTCCACTTCCCTTCTCACGTCCTCCCGTCCCCCTTCCCATCCCTCTCCCCAACTTCCTCTCCCCACCCCCCCTTCTCCCTCACCTACTAACAGCAATCAGCAGTGGTTTGAGCCAGAGTGGGCACGGTTTGGTGATGGCAAACAGCTAAGATCGCTCCTCACGCACCCACCCATCCATCCATCCATCCGTCCATCCATCCTTCCATCCATCCATCCATCCATCCATCCATCCATCCATCCATCCATCCATCCATCCATCCATCCATCCATCCATCCATCCATCCATCCATCCATCCATCCATCCATCCATCCATCCATCCATCCATCCATCCATCCATCCATCCATCCATCCATCCATCCATCCATCCATTCATTCATCCATCCACCCATCCATCCATCCATCCATCTATCCATCTATCCACCCACCCACCCATCCATCCAACCCAACCTTGCTAACACCCTCTATCTTGTTCTCTTATTCAGAACACCATCTTGTATAAATCCACATCCACATGTTAATCTGTACTGTCCGTACCTGTGTGTTTCCTCCCGTGGCCTCAGCCCGAAACCCTAGACACATTTTTTTTGCATGTCCCATTGCTCCTCCTTTGCTTGCGTTGCAAGCTGCTCAGCTGCAGCCTTATCCTTGAATAACACCCTGCTTTCGCCCTGCACCGTCTGTCCCTCTGTCCCTGCAGGTACTTCCAGCATGCAGCAGCACCGGTCTATGGACTCTCACGTGACCTCGCCCTTTTCCTTGCCTTCAATGGGTCAGCCTTGCCCCTTCACGCCCACTAGACATTTGCACAGACTGTCCTCCCCTCCTGCATTTACACGCCCCCACCCTCTCCCCCACCGTCTCCCCCACCCTCTTCCTCTCGCTGCTAATATCTTCTCCCTCCCTCAAAGAAGCCCAGTCCATACATCTAAAGCTGTACTCCATCCCAGCAACATATACTTCGATTTCACAACTATTTTCCTTCAGTATATCCCCGTTCTCGCACCGAGCTTCTTTCCTCTCCTTCTCTAATCATCCCTACTCTCCCCATGCCCTCTCCCCCCCTGCACCATGGCTTCATCCCCCCATTGCCTTGCTCATCCTCCGCATTGTTCCCCATGACCTCATTTCCCCATGACCTCATCCTTGCATGCCCTCATTCACCCGGGCAGGCCACTACTGCATGAGTATGCGAACGAGGACATATCAGTAGGGTCGTGGATGCTGGGTCTCACTGCCACCCACCACAACGACCACCGCCTCTGCTGTGCCAGCCCTCCCGAAGGTTAACCACCTCCCTCTCCTGTTTCTGCTTCAGATTTGATCCCTTGCGGAATATTTATCATTCTCGAATAGCACCCGCTTCCCTCACCCGTTTCTGCTGCATATTTTACCTCCCTTTCACCCTCCTCTTGCACCCACACACCCCAACAGCCTCCCCTGTCTCACTTGATTGTTCCTTGTTCATGTCTCACTCTCCTTCTCGTGATGTGGTTTCCTGGGAGCAAATCATGCTAGTATAGAGGAGTTTTTAGCGTATCGTCCAGGATGTTCCCTTACATTGTTCTCAAATACCACCCTGGCACTACCCATTCCCCCTTCCCTCCCCAACCCACCTCTCTCTCTCATGGATTTCCAATGGGATTGGTTTTGCAGAGGACTGTGGACGGAGGAGAGAGGAGAACAAGGGATGTGTGGCAGTGTCTGATTGGCGCTGTGGCGGGCTGTGCGAGGCTGTAAAGAGGATGAATGAGGTGCACCACCAGTGTGCCTGATTCCAAGCACACCATCATTAGTACCATTAGCATCAAGTGATATTTGTGAGCAGGTCGAGACATCTGATCTGACCTTGAACTTTTCGTTATGATTTATAGGTACTACCAGGCTACCAGCCCAATATCATCCTAAGATATAGTTTCAACGATTGCATCCACACAAGAACATAATGGTGGGACATTATTGAATATAGTGAATGCTCGCTAACGTGCCTAACAATGCTAAGCAACCTTCCACGTCCATAAACTCAATCCTCTAAATGCTGTCCCAGAGCACTGCCATTGTTGCAATGCCTTGTACCACCATATGCTTGCTCTTGTGCAAGCCACATCATATTTTCCCAGTTTTATTTCCACTGTCACTCGCCTCGTGAGGGATGCGTGGCCGTCTGCCCGTTGGACTTATGCTAGAGGGTTCTACGGAGATGGGAAGAGAATGGAAGCGGTGCACCATGGTGTGCCTGGTATTCAAAGCCTTGTAACGGAAGTCCGCAGATATTACTCCATCACAAGCCTGAGACGGACAAAGCTGCGAGAAGTGATACAAACGTGTAACGCGGGGTCGTCGAGCAGTGTGGATGCTTGAGTTCCAACGGGAGATTGAAACTGGAGTGTGATGGAACATGGAGGAGATGAGCTCTTAAAGCGAAGGAAGAAGCCGAATAAGGTAGAACCTTAAGAAACGGAAGATTTAAGGCAGATATTGTCACCTGCAGCTCAAGGTTAAACGTGGGTTCGAGGCTTAGGATTCTGTTTGATGATCTTGAAGCAATGCTTCCTGCTCCTCGCGCATCTTAGCTCGAACATAGGAGAGGCACGGCCGGCATGTCACCTCGATGGTGCACCACCCCACGCCGATCGCGGCGACGACAACGATGACGGATACTAGCACAGAGCCCATGAGAAAGGAAGTTAGTTCAGCAACCTAACTGGACTGGCGAAGCGACGTAACTGGAGGAAAAACCGACTTGCAGGAAGCAAGCAGAATAACAGTACCTACGGAAACCGACTTGCAGGAAGCAAGCAGAATAACAGTACCTACGGTATGTTCATTGATAGTTGTTCATTGGTATGTTCACTAAGGCACAGCAGCAAAAAAGCAACTTGGTAGATGAGCAGTCAACCCAGATTCGTGGTGAGCCAGGTTGCGTACTGGAGGTTGTGCCACAATCGAAAGCAGCTTCCTGGTTCGGATGCCTCCGTGGCGGGTAAATTCGAGTCCGCGACAGCCCGACAACGTAGGCCGTCGTCGATTTGTCCTTTGAAGCTGCCGAACCAGCTTCAGCCAATTATGGAGTTCTGCCTTCCGAGCCGTGGTGAGTGCCTTACCGCTGTGGAGTTCTGCCCTTGGCAACAAATGGAGGAGGTTTTTTCTTGGGGCATTTATCTTAGCGGTAACACTCATGGAGCTCAATCGCACGCAAGGTAAGCCACGTGTCCGAATCGTAACAGAGATGTCTTCTCACTGCCACCATGGTAAGCAGCATTGCCGAGATGGTAAACATTATTGCCTGAATGGTAATGAACAGAGCATCCGAAAATCCTGGCTCGTAACTTCGCGTTCCAACCAAACTGTACACCGTACAAGTCATGTTTGACTCAGCAAAACGAAACTGACTGTCCACGTATACACCCACAGAATGCGCAATTCTGTTTAGTATATCAACGCCTACGAACACAAAACATTACATGCACGTATTCGATATAATTTCTATCACTATTACAGCAAGCTTATTACGCAAACTCCGGAAAAACAAATGTAGCCTAATTATTAAAAAATTGGGATTAAATTATCTATCAATACAGTCCATATCGTTTCTTGAATGTATTATTTATTATATCACTATTCAATTTTTATAAGGCTATTATTTGTTATATGCAAAATTAATATTATTCAAATTGATATTGAAATTATTACAACTTGGTCTAGCTCTATTTCTTAATATTAGGAAATACAATGAAAATAGGGTAAAAAAATGTTTTAAATAATTTATCACTATAATGGTTTTGCGATTTGACATTGTGCGATTTTTTCTGTGGCGTTTATTTGATAGTTAAAACTGTATAATTGTTTTTTCTTTTACAGATTACGAGTTTGCATTTCGAGGTTTTACTGTCTGTGATTGTAAACGCCGGTATTATAAACAAAACTGTGTATTCTGTATGTGTATACGTGGACAGTCAGTTTTGTTTGGGTGTATCAAGCCTGTTGGCTGGAGATGGCATCGCCCTCGCTTGGACGTAGCAAACTTCGCAGTCGGGGGCGCAAAAGTCAATGTAGGCCAAGCGCAGAAAGCTACCTCAATGTGCCCGCAGAGTTCGACTTCGACTTGTCCGTATAGTTTGTTAACGGAAGTAGCGTGTTGGCCACGCCCTCGCTTGGGCAACATCGCTGACTTGGTCGGATGTACGGGAGTAGCAGCCGACCGTTCACGGTGGGGGAGCTGCTCGACAGGCTTCGTCGAACTGCATGGAACCGCTGTGGTGTTCTGTCGACCAGGGAGCTCGACAACTACAACTGACTAGTCTGGGCGATGGGTGGGCCGTTGACCAGGAGGGGCAGTTCAACCGGAAGGTCGACGGAGCAGGCCGTCGACCTGCAGCTCGACCGGGAGCAGTCCGTCGACCTGCAGCTCGACCAGGAGCAGTCCGTCGACCTGCAGCTCGACCGAGAGCAGTCTGTCGACCTGCCGTTCGACCGGGAGGTTGACGGAGCAGTCCGTCGACCTAACAAGTGAGCAGCGGTCAACGAGGGGAGCTCGGCGACAATTGCTGACGGTCCTGGTCGACGGTAGGGGTCCGTCGACCAGGGGGTAGCTCGACGGAAGTTGTGGTCGACCAAAGGCACCTGGTGGTCGACCAGAGGGAGCCGGTGGTCGACCAAAGGCACCTGGGGGTCGACCAGAGCATCCGGGGGTCGACCAGGTCGACCAGGTAACCTGCTCAACGATTTATGCAGAGGCACGCGAGCGTCGTCAAGGTCGTAATGGCGCACGCGACTTCAGGCTGATATCCCGAAGTCGATGTGGCTCGTCAGGGGCAGACAACAGCCGACGGATACCCAACCAAGCAAGTCGGGCCAATTGTCTGCGCCCACCTACGAGCGTACGCACTGCTGTGTTATACGGGGCAACGCTGGACAACCGATCTGCTGCAGCGTTGGCACGCCGTCGACCTCCTCTGTTGGCAGGTCGTCCTTCTGCAGTGTTGGCGCGGCTCCTCTACACAACGCTGGTAGGCGGTCGACCGAGCAGTGCTGGCGGTCGACCAGGCTAGCTGCAGGGTTGCTAGGTGCCTGATGTAGTCATTGTTGCCATCTCTTGTTCAATCATTCTGTAATTTTGACTTTACCTAGTGAAAACTCTTGCCGATTTCTCCCGTGAATGCGCAAGCACTAAGGAACTTGTGAGAATTGAAACGAGAATTAATCAACTATGAAGTGAGTGAGTACAAGTACTAACCTTAATTGGGTTGTACCCCCTAGGGGATACCCCACTATAGCCTACACAAATGTATAAGATTGAGAAAGCTTGCTTTCTTTCTTATCAATTGGCATCGTTCTCATTACAAATGGCGTATTACAACATTTGCATCATCGTTCGACATAAGCTAGTGCGCACTAATAACACTAGCTATTATGTACCCTATCCAAGTGGCATTAGCAAGGCGGTTTACACTGGGGTGGGTGGTGGGAATGTTGAGTGAGCCGTTTGAAAATTGAGAAACGTGGGTGGAGGGAAATGAGCTCCAACCCACGGTTTTTGTAGTTGGAGAAGGGCGTTTAGCGCGCTTCGACGATGCCAATTGTGCAGTACAAGCAGCTTCGAATTCACAATACACAATTTTAAAAAACACTACATGTGTGTTTAAAAATTATAATCTATATAGCATTCTGACACACCCCCATAGGCAAAGTGGGGGAGAACAAGGGGTCACAAGACCAGTCAAGTAAAGCAAAGCAAAGCAAGCTCAGGGTGGATCACAAAGTCACCACACAGTCCGAGCACAGGGTCAAGGCCACACGGCCAGTTCACATGCAAGAGTACACACATATATATAAAGCTAGACAAGCAAGAGCAGGTAAATATATATGTGAGAGTAAAACAAAGGTCAAGAGGAGAGCAAGTGAGGCAAGACGGGCACAAGACCCAGCTGAGTGCAGAAGCGCTGATAATCACAAGGCGGAAGTGCCTTCGTGAAGACATCAGCAGTGTTGGCCTCAGAGGCCACGTACGCAAGCCGCAACTGTCCACGCTGCTGTAACTCATGAGCAAGGAAGTAGCGGAGAGCAATGTGCTTTGTTTTGTGCTCCAGTCGCTGCTCTCGACACAAGGCCAGCATGGCCTTGTGGTCTATGTACAGGACTAGAGGAGAACGAGGCGGCTCTCCAAGGTCGGTCAGCAGGTAGGTGAGCTAGCGAAGCTCCAAGGACGTGCTGCACCATGTGTGACTGAGTCAGGGTAATGGTGCGGCTTGCTCTGTCCCGGGTGATCTGCAAGCCAAGGTAGCTGCGAAGTTCACCTAGGTCTGTGCACGTGTGTCTCTTCTGCAGTTCGGACTTCACGTAGGCGAGTCCAGCAGTGTCAGCTGTGGCAAAGACCAAGTCGTCGACGTACACGAGGATGTAGAACGGCGGCAGAGAGATGTCAGTGCGCAGAAACAGCGACGGGTCGGCAGTAGAAGGAGCAAACCCAAGAGCCGCAAGCGTAGTCCTCACTGTGTCGTGCCACTCACGTGGCGCCTGGCGGAGACCTTAGACTGGACGCCGGAGACTCCACTGGGTACCAGGAGGGAACGACCCAGTGAAGCCAGGTGGGCGACGCAGCCAGATCTCCCCGTGCAGGCTGCCCTACAAGAAAGCTGTGCTGAAGTCAAGAGAGTGCAGCTCGTAGTCACGGTGAGCAACAACGTGCAGCAGTACCCGAAGAGTGGTCATCTTCGGGGTGGGGGAGAAGGTCTGAAAGTAGTCAACTCCCTTCCGCTGACTGTAGCCACGAGCC